GTGTGTGTGTGTGTCCTGTGATGGACTGGTGTCCTGTCCAGGGTGTGTGAGTGTGTGTGTCCTGTGATGGACTGGTGTCCTGTCCAGGGTGTGTGTGTGTGTCCTGTGATGGACTGGTGTCCTGTCCAGGGTGTGTGAATGAGTGTGTGTGTCCTGTGATGGACTGGTGTCCTGTCCAGGGTGAACCCCGTCTTGTGTCCATTGCTTGCTGGGATAGGTTCCAGCTGCCCTGCGACCCTGAACTGGGAGAAATGGGTGAATGGACTGGTGGATCAGAGAGCAGAAGTGTGTTAAGGAAGCCTGCGAGTCCGTCCCTCTCCCACATACAGATCCCTAGAGCTCTGCGCAGCTCAGAGCTGCTGAGCCAATGTGCTGTGTTGTGCGCAATGTCAGATGTTCCCAGTTTATGGACATCGGTGAACACCAGGACATCCTTCTCTCCGTCACTGGGACAGAGGAAGAGGAGGAGTGAAAACAATGCTGTGTAGCAGCAGACGGGTGGAGAGCCAGATGCGTGTTCCCTGACACACCTGTGTCTCGCTGAATGTTTAGGAGCCGTGAGCAGGTGGCTTGGGAAAACCAGTTGACCAGAGAGCCACTGGCGAATTACAGGCAAGACAGAAACAGCTGAGTGTGCTCAGAGCGGCGCTTGTTGAAGACGCGTTCTGAAACATGCTGACTTACCTCTGGAGCTGGAGTTTGATTTCTTCTGTCTGTTCCAGTGCTGCAGCTCCTCTGCCATCTTCCTGATGTCTTCCTGCGTCATTCCCTGCTCCATTCCCTCTGCCTGGGACTCGCTCTCCCCCCTGTCCAGGGCTGTCAGGGGGTACAACTAGATGAGTGCCATCTGGTGCTCACATCACGTATTGCAGTTCAAAACAAGTATCCCCATTCCCTATAACACTCAACATTACCTTCCTGTTTCCTAAAGAGACGTGTTTCTCTCAGAAAATACTGCACTAGTCCAAATGTTCTGTAATCCAAATCATTTCAGGAAGTCACACTACCTCCAGTCTTACAAACCGAGAGGCATTGAAAAGACAAGTAACCCTAGAGTTAGGGTTAGGGAGTCAGTAGTCAGCACTGCTGCCTGGCAGCACTGGGGCCCTGGGTTCAATTCCTGGGGTGCTGTCTGTGTGGAG